CCCCCCCCCAAATGTGAGCGATGGGCTGGAGGTGGAGAGGAGACAGGAGCACAGAGACAAACTGGGGAAAGGAAGGAGAGAGAAGAAATGAGGACCTTGGGATGGCACGGCAGCTAGAAGCACCATCGGGCCCTGCCGGCTGTGGGGCATTAGAAGTGACTAGTCCTTTGGCTTTTTCCGGGCACTGCTTTTTGGGACCGTACACACGTGCACACGCACATAGAGCATCCTTCCCTGCCCAAAACCAGCACCCTTTCCATCATGCCTGGAGGAGCTGTTGGTGCAGCAGGGGTAGGAGGCGGACGTGGCAGCTCAGTTGCAGATCCCACTTGACTTTGGCCTTGCCCATGAAGGCAACCAGCCTCCCCCAAGAGACGTATTAAAAATAGACAGCAGCAGCAAGACGTGTTGGTTCCTGCTGAAAGCAAGCATGCAAATCATCCGCGCTGGTTTTGGGCAGGAGAGGATGCTCTACGTGCATGTGTGTATGCCTGACTTTGCTGACTCTTTACCAAAGCTTGTTTATTGGTGCAGAGGTAGAGATAAATTGCAGTGCAGATGCCTGAAAAGCTGCATTATATACCGAGCCCCATCAACGCTGCAGGGGGAAAAGGGAAAAGCAAAAAAACAGAGGCAAGAGACCCATATTTCACAGCCTCTGTGTTTATTAGAGACTCTGCGAACACCGGCTGTATGGATCTGATTAGGGGTGAAATGCTGCCTGCCTTCGTAGAAAAAAATAAAAATAAAAATGCCGGCTCTCCCGGGTAGCACCAAGACATCTTCTCTTTGTTTTGTCTGCCCCCAGGTGGGTTGTTGGTACCTCACAACTGATCTTTGCAGGAGCCTCGTGAAGTGGCTCAGCCACTTTTAAAATCAGCGCTGAGAGGCAGCGCAGGCCGTGGTGGTCAAGGGGTTACGGGGATGACGGCAGCACTCAAAGGCCTTAACCAGATTTGGAGGCCTCTGTGGTGCTCGGTGCTGTACAGAAGCCCAAGAAAAGCAAGCACCTGCCCGGAGGAGATGGCATCCCTAAGGAGCCCTGTTGCATGCGCATTGGGAGGGGGGACAGTGTCGCTTCAGAATTCAGTACTTACTTTGGGGTCCGATGCACCTGCCCTGCACCTGCAGTAATAGGAACAGCAGCTGTAGTGTAAATGTTCCTTCTTTCTTACACCTGTTGATGCTCTGCATCCCCCAAACTCAGTAAAGACCCTGCCCCATCGTCTTTGCAGGCTGCCATTCTGTGGGCCCCGCGCAGCTGGTCCAGGACATGCACTGAGCTGGGGTCTAGGAGGCTTTGTTTCCAAGTCTTGCCTCTCCACTTCCTGCTCTTCATCTTCCCGTGTCCTTCGTTAATTAATCTCGCTCTCAGCTTTGCACAGCAGCCGTGGAGGACAAAGGTGTCCCCCGCCACATAGGTGGACACCCTGGCCAGAAAGCAGGGGGTCATCCTGCTTCATCTGCCTCTGTTGCATCGCTACCAGCTGCTGGAGTCTCCTGGGAGTCGGACCCTTTCTTTCTGTGGCTCGGTGTTGCTCTGCCATGGGTGGTTGTCTGAGTATGGAGCAGCCTTTATCCTGCAGCCCTGGGGGCCTAACCTAGTTCACACCCTGCCCTGTCCCTGTTCCTCCCGTCTACCTCTGCCGTCCTGCAGCAGATGTTTATGCAGTGTGGGATCTCTCAGCATGGGCTTGGCAGGGGCTGTCCGGTCAGCAGCTGCAGATCTTGCATGTTCAATCATCCAGACGGAGGAGGAAACTCTCAGGCTCACACATGTGTGCTCCTTGCCCTGTTTGCAGTAGCAGAATCACAGACACGTAGATGAGCAGGGACATCCAGAGCTCAGCCCCCCGCCTGGGGCAGGATCAGCCCTGCCCAAACTATCCCAGGCAAATCCATAATCCCTGACACAATGCAGACATCACACCTGGACCTGCCACAGGGGAACCGTGGCAGCCAAAGTCCTGCTGCAATAAAAGGTTGTTAATATATGCTCAAGAGCTCTCGGGTAGTGCCATGGCCCCTGCTGCAGAAGAAGGCAACCCCCCCCTCTGTCCATACCAATCTGATCGGGGTAAAATTTCCACCTGAGATTGGCCTGGCCCTGAGCAGAGGGGCAAGACCCTCAAGCCAGAAACCTCGGGGTTTAAGTCCTAGCAGGAGCATTGGCACAGCCCAGCCAAAATCCCCAGCACCGGCTGCAGCCAGCACTCGGTGCCTCTGAGGAAGGCTTAAAAACACCCTGACGTGCAGCAGCAAGGTGGGGGGGCAGCAAAGCCCAGAAGTGTGGAAAATACCGGTATCCAGCTGCTCTGAGTCCTAAGTCCTGACTGCAATTGGGTTTTTAGCCCTGTTGGACCCTCAGCAGGCCTAAAAACCCAGCAGATCTGTGGGGCTGCTCTGACCATAAATTTGCCCTGGGGCTTTCACAAGAGAGGACGAGGAAGGGATCCCAGCACTGGGTCTGGCTCCTTGCTGGGCATTTTGCAGCAGGCATGGTTATGGGGTCAGCTTGCATGTGCTTTACTGACAAAGAGAGGCCCTGACTTGGCAGAGATGGGTGCAGAAGTTGAGTGTCGCAGCTGGGAGTGGAGCTGCTGACTCTACTTGTGTGTTGAGTGAAACTGTTGGGGATGTGGAGGTGTCACAGGTCTCCCACTGGGCTGGCCCCCAAAGGGCACATGGCATTGCAGTGCTCAGCCAAACTGCATGGCTCTTAATCTCCAGCTCTGGCTTTTACTTCTGGAAGTCCCAGTTTTTTTGTTCCTGGGAGCACTGGCTCAGAGGGCAGCTGTCCCACCAACCTGTGTCAAGGCAGATCCACGATCCCATGGCTTTCTTCAGCCCTGATGTTTGATGGGCATTTTGCCTGCAAGCAAATATACCCGAGAGTATCTGACTATATAACGTAAAGGTGCAGCGCATGGTTGCTGACGCCTTCAGAAACATGGCTGGCATTTTGTGGTAGACTTGTGTTTTGGTGTGCCCACATAGCAGGGGAAAAAGAGCGTGTGTGTGCAAGCACAGGTGTGCATGAAACACTTCTGTACAATCCTTGACAGCATAATTGCCCACGTGAGGCCTGCTCATCAAATAGGCCAACCCATGAATGCCCCGTGCCCTCTAATTCATTTCACTTTGCTTTCCCTGCAGGGAGCTCATCATGAAGCTGAAGTCTCACGGCAGCTTCTACAGCAGCTTACCGGAGTACATCTGCAGCCACAGGTCGGCCGTTCAGAACGACACCCTGTGCTGGAACGGGCAGGAGATCACGGAGAGGTAAGATGTGACCTGCTACTCCAACCTGGCCACAGCTTGTGAGCAGGGATAGGCGCCTGCGGGATTGAGGCCCGTTGCACCTATGACTCTCTTTGGCTGGTGGGGTTTAACCGAGCTTTGCTGACCGTCTCTGTTGTTCAGAGGTGCCTCCTCCAAGCACCTGTGCTGCTCTGGGTGTGTGCCTGTGGCTGGGTAGGTGCCTTCACTTAGACTCATTAGTGCTGCGAAGTGACGAGGCAATTTGCCTGACCCCCTGCTTAATTAGTTAGCCGCCAGGCTGGGCAGCAGTGGCACATTCCTGCCCTTGGGTGCTGCAGCTGGGATGCTGACCTTGCTCAGTGCACTGGCCATCCAGCATGTCACAGGCTTGGTGTCCAGTGGAGGAAGGGGTGCACAGCTGCTCAGTATGGAAACCAGGCAGCCACAAGCCTGTGGAAAGAGCAGAACGGGTGTTGACCAGCTGGAAAGAGCTGAGGAGCAATGTCTTGGCACAACAGTGCTGCTAACCGGAAAGAGCTCCCTAGGTTCAAGTAACTCCTCCATGCAGCGCTGTTCCTGCAGTAGTCTTGCCCCAAGGCAAACAGGTCCTGCCCCACCTCTTGGTAAAGTGCTGTCATAGTGCCTACTACATGCAGCTTCTCTGCAAAAACTGGTTGTCTGTCCGCTCTAGATGTAGGCTTCATTTCCTTTGGTATACAAGCCCAATGCAGGTGACATAGCAAAGGGTCCCAGACCCTGGATTTCTGTAATAACACCATTGTGTTTGCATCAGCTTGATAAAACTGGACCTCTCAGCTCATCTCTAGGACAAGCTGGTAAAATTAGAAAGGGGATGACAAATGCTAGGTAGGCGTCCTACCAACTCAGAGCCGTCCTTGCCCAATCTTACCCTGCCCCCATACTTTTATGTATTTAATATATTCCTCTTTTCTCTGGATGCTGTGACAATTACCTGTGAAACTAATGAGGAATGACAAATGAAGGGTTAGTTTTACAATGGAAAGACAATGTTAATGGAAAAATAGCTTTTTTTGCAAAAGTCAGCTCCCAGAAACGTTCATGAATTTGCACAGGCAACATGGAGAAGCTTATTATAATTCTCTTCGGATAACTCTACTTTTCAAACCATCCTTTGCTATTAAAATAGTTTACATCGGGGAAAAACGGTAGAAATAAAATCAAGAAATAGCAAAGATAATGTAAGGTATTCATTACGGCTTCTTCCTGGTGGGTAACCTCAGGAAATAATTAACCTGCACTTGCAATACGGACCGGGAACACTGAAGGAACCAGAAAATGGCATCAGACTGTTTTTTAAAAATTACTCCAGCATTGAAGATTTCATGCATAGTAATATATAGCTACTTTGCCTCCAGGAAAAAAAAAAGTGCTCTCTTGTCCAGACTGGGCTTTTTTTGGAAAACTTTTTAGTTTTCCTGCCTAATGGAGTGTACAGTTAAAAGGGGGGTTTGTCTGAATATTGTCTCACTGCCTTTTAATTAAAAAATAACACCACAAAATATTGTGGGTTGTGACTGATCTTAGTGGATTAGAATTCACACCCGCGATTCTTGGTCCGGCTGATGGAGAAGTCCAATCAAGGCCAGCGGTAGAGGCCTGTGCTCTCGATTCAAGTGATCTGGGTTCAGCTTCAGATGGATGAAACAGTTGAGGGATGCATGTGGTTTCATAGCATGAGTTTTCTGTGCCCACTCCCATATATCTTTAATAAAACTCCTTCTTAAAAGGAGCTCTGAGGTTGCAAAGTGAAACTTTCCAGTTGGAGAAAGCTGCCACGTACCCCTCTTTTGGTCCCTGATATGTGCATGCATCCCAGACCAGTCTTGAGTTTCCAGCTGCTTGTCCTCCAGTGTGCTTCTCAGTTAGCAGGATGGATGCTGAAGAGGGGAAAGGCTGCTGGAGTGGGACCTCAGAGGAGGAGGTGAAGAGGTGATGGATGTGATGCTGAGCAAGGCTGCATCAGGCTAGTGGCCAAAGGGGCTACGTGCAAACTGAATAGGCCGCCTGAATTCTGGTGCAGACGGGCTGGGCTTTGCAACCTGGGCTTGCTTTTAGCAGACCTTTTTGCATGCACTTTTGATTCCAGCAGCATCCAAATCCAGGATCGGGCTTTGTTGTGCTAGGGATTGCCTGTCCGAGTAGCAAGGGAGCTCGTGGTGCTGTGTAAGACACACCAGGCAGCCGAAACAGGCCTGCCATGGCAGGGGGAAGGAGAGCAGCCAAGTGAGTAGACTGGAGCCAAAAGCCAAAGTTTCAGCCCGCCTGGCCATGAAGGCAGTAATGAGACAAACAGCCTCGTGTAGCTCTCCTGAAGGGAGCACGCTTTTTTTTCTTCCTCCCACTCCGTTCTGTCAAACAGGCATCTCCTCTGCCAGCTTGCATGAAATATTAATAATAACCCTCTTCCCAACCAGATGTTTAAATCCTTTGCTCCGAGCCAAGTGACAGCAGCCCAGCCCGAGTGATGAGTGTGAAAAACCTGATCCTCCTTGCAGAGATGTAGTCAGCGTGCTCGGCGGGCGGGGGGAGGCCCAGCTGCTCTGTGTAGGAAAAGTCTTGCTAACTATGCTTGAAGCTGTATGGAGCTGCCTGCCTCCATCCAAGGAGCAAGGTAATCCCGGGGTGCAAAAGCCGGAGAGTTCATGGAAGAAACAGACACTGATATTTCATCGTGCACCAGTTCCCTTCCTTTCTGCCTCCAGCTTTTAGCACGTGCAACCGTAGCATTCCCCAGGGCGATTCCCTGGCTGCAGCTTAGTTGAGCAGGATGCTCTGTACTTCCACTGGGACAATCGCCCAGAAAAACCAGCGATAAAAATGAACAAACAACCCCCTAACCACCCCACTTCCATTGACAGGTTGCACTTTATAGTGAAAACACATGCACAGCTAAAACATTTAGTGCTAAAACATTTTGCACTAAAACAGCCCGCACTGGTTAAGTACTGTGATGGAGCTGTTCAAAAAGTAGCTAGCGCCCTTTTTTTTTTTTTTTGGTTGGCTGCCTCATTTTTTGTGTGAAGCGGATTAATGTACCCAGTTTGCAGCACTAAAAAGCCAGAAGAAACAAGGGGAAATGATAATTTTTTCATCTCGAGCTTGAGATGCCCTAGAGGAGCCTGCTTTTCAGGTGGTGGTTGCTAGACCTTTTCTGAGAATCAGGCCCCATTAAGGTATCTTGTTGGGAATGCAAAAATCACTAGTTGCTTTTTAAGACCTTGACTTGTATTTCTCTGAAGCGGTCAAACCAGCAGTGCTCAGCTGTGCGCGGCGTTACAGTTGGGGGTTTGAAAACTTCCGTCGTGACTTTATCCGTACACCGGACTGACGCTCGCTTGTGATCTTTCCCAGACCTGGCTTCCAGCTTGCGCGGAGACCGTGTTTCATAAATCACTGGCGACAGTTTCAGGATATTGGCCACGTTTACCTCTTGGTCATGTGGCCAACTAACCACGGTGATGGATGATCAAAGAATGTCCTGAGCTTTTAGAGGTGGAAAAGTTAGAATTTCCTTGTTTTTTTGGCTTTTTAGTGCTGCACACTGAGTACATGATTCCCCTTATTGGATATTGCTGGCTGAAATGTAGAGCAGGCTTTCCTCTCTACACTTAATGTGCTATGTGCACCCCGAGGCCTCTGCCCGAACTTCACAAGTCCTAGCAGAAGCCTAGTAAAGCACTGGAACGGGTTACCCAGAGAGGTCGTGGCATCTCCATCCTTGGAGGTTTTGCAGACTTGGGTAGACAAAGCCTTGGCTGGGATGATGGAGTTGGGCCTGGTCCGGCTTGGAACAAGGGGTTGGACTAGATGTGACCTCCCGAGGTCCCTTCCCACCTCATTTTCTATGATTCTGTGATTGTATTCAAGGCTATCACGTTGGCAAACAAACTGGGATGGGATGGAAGACATTTTCAGTCCCTGCAACCTTGGATTCTTCTTTTGTTTTAGTGGCTGTTCAGACTCATATTTGAACCTCAGGCAAGGGAAATCTTTTGAAAGCATCTAATCCCTGGTAACACTGGTGCATTTGTGTTGACAAAAGCCTCAAAGCCACTCCTGGGTTGTTTTTTTTTCTTACTCCAGGTCAATTAAACCCATAGGTGGCTTTTCGAAGTGGCTAAGAGCTCTGAGAGTCTAGGCATCATTCACGGGAGAGGGTTAGTGGGAGGTGATGCTCTTTGAGGGTTGTGATGAGCACCATGCAGAGATGATGAATTCATTTGTATCATAGGGCTGCAGGGAGGCAGCCTCCCTGCATTTTTTATGCAATTCTCTCAGATTTGTGGTCAGGGTAATGGCCCCATCTTTAATGCAGTCTCGTAGAGTGAATTCTTCCAGAAGGGATCCCAAGGGCCTATTCACTGTCGCCCTTCTCCATCGTTGAAGATTCCCGGGTCATTCAAACACATCTCTCATCCTGTTTTGAGCAGCACAACTCCGCAACCTTGCCCTGTTAACCCATGCAAGGCCCAGCTCATCTTGATAACGGTGATCCTAATGTTTAACATAAATTGCTCCTTTTGCATTGTAAACCCATCCCTTTTTGTTTTCTTCCTCTGGGCTACTCCTTCCTCCGTCCTATTGATAGCATTGCTTGAGGTATTTGCAGACAACCGACATGTCCCTCCTCGTCGTAGGCCGAAGGCCCTTGCCTTTTCTATTGGCTCTCATTTTCCAAATCTACCATTTTATTTTTCCCCCCATTTCTCTCTCTTTTTTTTTTTAAGCTCCCTTAAGCCCTGGTGGTGTGTGCAGTTATGCCCCGTTGTTGAGACTCATAGCCAGGGCTCTTTGAAGAGTCTTGTGTGTGGCCAAGAGAGGGGTCTGATCACAGTTTGGGGAACCAGGAGGCCCCACATTGCAACCCCAGCTCGAGGTTTGCTCCTTATTTGCCCCCAGGCATTGGTATCAATGGGATCACGGGTATCCTGGAGGAGTTTCTCATCAGGTATAAGTCTTTCCAGCTCTGTTAAAGTCAA